ACTTCTACGTTTTGGAGAACATTGCATGCGGAATTGGGTACTAGGTTGGACCTTAGTACTGCGTTCCATCCTCAGACCGATGGTCAGTCTGAGCGAACGATTCAAGTGTTGGAGGATATGCTTTGTGCATGTGTGATAGAATTTGGTGGTCATTGGGATAACTTCTTACCCTTAGCAGAGTTCTCATACAACAATAGCTATCACTCAAGTATTGATATGGCCCCATTTGAGACACTGTATGGGAGAAGATGTAGGTCTCCCATTGGGTGGTTTGAAGCATTTGAAGTTAGACAGTGGAGTACTGATCTTTTGAGGGATTCATTAGAGAAAGTGAAATCTATTCAAGAAAAGCTTTTAGCGGCTTAAAGCAGGCAAAAGGAATATGCAGATCGAAAGGTTAGAGACTTGGAGTTCATAGAGGATGAGCAAGTCTTGCTGAAGGTTTCGCCCATGAAAGGGGTGATGCGGTTTGGGAAAAGTGGTAAGCTAAGCCCAAGGTATATTGGACCATTCGAAGTACTTAAGCGAGTAGGGGAGGTGGCTTATGAATTAGCCTTGCCCTACGGACTGTCAGGAGTGCATCCGGTATTTCATGTGTCTATGTTGAAAAGATACCATGGTGATGGAAACTACATCATTCGTTGGGATTCAGTTCTTCTTGATAAGAATTTGTCTTATGAGGAGGAGCCTGTTGCTATCTTAGATAGGGAAATTCGCAAGTTGAGATCGAGGGAGATTGCATCCATTAAGGTTCAATGGAAGAATCGGCCGGTTGAAGAGTCCACTTGGGAGAAGGAGGCTGATATGCAAGAAAGATACCCACACCTGTTTACAGATTCAAGTACTCCTTTTTGCCCTTGTTTCTTTTCTTGTGATTGTTCGAGGACGAACGATGGGTAAATTGGTATCTATTGTAACGACCTGTTTAGTCGTTTTGAGCAGCAGATTTTATTTCTGGAAAAACTGGCAGAGACGACGGATCCCACGACGGACCGTCATGGGCACGACGGACCGTCGAGGGGGTCTCGTTCCAAAACACTTAGAATTCTGAAATTTGGGTACTGAAATTGACTCTCTGAACTTCGTGACGAGGTGGTAGGACGGACTGTCACAGGCATGACGGGCCGTCACAGACCCTATGAAATTGAGTCTCTGAACTCTGTGATGACTCAGCAGGACGGACCGTCGCAGGCACGACGGCCCGTCACAGACTGCGTAATCCCAGGCTGGGTAGGATTTCTGTTAAATGTTTTTTAAGGGGCGTTTTGAACTATTCCTACTTATAATTATAAAGTTAGTGGTTGAATATTAATAACCCAATTTCTTGAGGGTTAAAGGAGATAACCTTAAATTAATTAATGGGTTAATTCATCATCTTTTATACTTAATTATATGTTAATTAGGGTAAAAGAAAAAGGGTTTGAATAAAAAAACAGAAAGAAAAAAAAAGAGAGGGAGAACGATTGATCGAGAGAGAGGAAAAATGAAGCTTTGGGAAATTTGCTTGCTTGATCACTAATCTTCGGTGGAGGTAGGTTATGGTTTTTATGCTATTCGTAGTAGACTCTTAATAGCGAATGATATGTGTTGGGTAGTATTATAAAACCTTTTATATGCTTAATTGTGTGCTTACATGATGTGATTATATAATTGTGATGAATAAGCATGATGAGTCTATTGAATCTCTAATCCTAAATTTACCTTGTTAATAATGATGCCTTGGTATAAGAGAAGGTTTGATGAACTAATGCAATGAGATTGATGATGCCTTGGTATAAGAGAAGGCTTGATGAACTAAAGTAATGAGATTGATGATGCCTTGGTATAAAAGAAGGCTTGATGAATTAATAGAATGAGATTAGGGGAGCGGGTGTCACGAACCGACACGTAGAATTAGGAGATCGGGTGTCACGAACCGACACGTAGAATTAGGGGATCGGGTGTCACGAACCGACACGTAAAATTAGGGGATCGGG